AAAGTAACAGGGAGGAATTATGCCTACGTACAGTAACGGGAGAAGGACAGGACTGATCGTTATTTAATATGTCTTGTTTGTGGGTTTTGATCAGTTCTTTTTATGCTGCAATCCCTTGATTACCGTTAAGTTCATTTTCGTGTTTTTCTTTTATCACTCGTTCTGTTCTTGAAATCTGGTTCAGGTTTTACAGTATTCTAGAATTTCCTTCCCACTATGCAGTTTTCACACACTGTGCAGTTTGTTTTTGTTTTTTGTTTTTTTTGCTTGTACAGGTGTTTTCTTTTGTTATTGCGATTATGTATCAGCCGTCGCAACTGGTATCAACACATCAAGCATGAAAAAAAAAAAAAAGAACAGACAAACAGCAATAAAAAAGGAAAAAACATAACGACATAAATAACACAATGCTTTACCTGATGGAGCTGTTGGTACGTTGCAGTTCTGTTCGTCTGACTTATCCCCGCAATCGTCTGTCCCATCGCAAACCCAAAGCTTATTAATGCACACTCCATTAGCACAGGTCATCTGGAATGATTTACATGGACACTTCTCTTCATCGGAATTATCCAAACAGTCAAACGAGCCATCACATCGCCATGCCTTTCTTATGCAACTGCCGTCGCTGCACTGAAATTGATTGGGTAAGCAAGGTGTGGCAGTAGTTATCGTAGGGACTGGGGTGGAGGGAAGTGTCTTTGCATTTGTGGTGACGGGAAGTGGTGTCCGTTGGTGGCTCTTTGACAATGCTATTAAGAGAAGAAACTTGTTTAAGTGTAACGCAATTCAGTGCTCCACACGCACCATGGTTTTGAACCTCTCAAAACTTCCTTATGCAGTAGGTGAAGAAAGCGCAAAATTTGGAAACATAGACAGGCAGATGAATAACAGGGTAGGTTTTTAAAGAAATTGTGGTGCTTTGTCGGTGGGGGCTTTAACAAAATAATTTGGTTCTATTTGTCATTAACTGAGCTGATTTTTTAAGATGACCAACATAGAGAGCCATAAGACCTCTCGTTTCACACATTAGCACTTAACCAGGCTAATACTCGCAGACTCAGCCTAAGAGACTCTCTACGGTGGCCAATTTACATAATCAAGTCAGTTGATAGAACCAAAAAAGACAAAAACAGACAGAAAGAAAAAAATACTTGCAGGAAAATGGACAGACACATAGACGAACAGGCTGGCTGATTGACTTACAGACTCTACTGAGCGGCTGACTCACTCTTTGACCCACTCAGACTGACTCACAGACTCATAGACTGACTGACTTGTTGACCAACTGACTGGCTGACAGACTGACTGGCTTACTGCCTTACTGACTCAATAACTCATCCACTCACCGACTGTTTGACTCATTGACCCACTGACTGACTGAGTGACTGATTGAGTGACTTATTTATTCATTAACACACTGACTGACTAACCAAGTGCATGGTATGGTCGAAATTTTTTCGATCAGCGTGATCAGTCTGAAATACGTGTTACATGTATTTAACTGTTATACTCACGTTTAGCTTGAAAATTAAGTTGAAACCCCTTGTTATTCACAGAACGATCGGAAACAAATCGAACAAGCATAACATTGGTGGTAGAAAACACGCTGAAAGGTGGCAGCTTTCCACAATACTTCCCAAGGGAACTGTTATGGATGGTCGGGCCATCGTGGACTTCAACATAATCGTAGCACGTTGCTGCTTCACAAAACAGACAAAACAGTAACTTCACAATACAACTTTACCTGGTGCAATGAATACATTAGATAGGCAATTGAAGGGATGGTAAATGCGCCTAAATGAGATTGTTGTGATATAATTTAATCTTCCCGAGGAAATCGACGATGGGGTTGCGATTTTAAATAGTTTGATTAACAAGGTCTTTGTCTCTTCACGTATCCCTATGTGTTGCGCTCCCATAGATTAGGTCAAACTTAGGTCAAACTTAAGTCAAACCTAACCCCATTCTCCCACCGTAGAAAACCACATGAAAGAGGGAAACAAAAACTTTCCTCTAATATCAAGCTTGTTAGAGTGGTAGTAACAGTACTGAAAAATTACTTTATGTATGATTGCTGAAGTGAGCTTGAATTATTACTGATCATCTTTACACTAAGGCAGAATCATAGACAGCTAAGGTCTAGTTTACATAGGTCACACTTACTAGGATTTCCTCCGGCTGGTTCAACGCTAAAATTGTTAAATTTGGCTCTGACCCTCATTCCAGTGGGAACTGTGATCTTGTAGAGGCAGTTGGCTCTTGGACTGTAATAATTGGGGTAATTCGGGGACTTGATTTTCCCCTCTCTTCCAATGTAGTTTCTTCCGCAAGCTAGAAATTTAATAAAAAATTTGTGATAAACTGTGTAATTGCGAACTTTAAAAGCTACGAGATACAGACAGGGAAAACATCGAAAATCGTGTCGCCAGGCCAAATTTAAGGATTGTCATTACTTTTGGTTTATTTTCAATCAGTAATTCCAAAATCTGGGACAAACCTTTTATGGGAACGCTCGCTGTGGGAGATAGATCCTTTTTTTTACATTACTCATCCAAACACGTTCCTATTAAGACCGTAGTTCCATTTTTTCAAATAGGTTCCCTAATTCAACACAGCTCAAATTGACCTCTCAGCAAGCTCCACGACTAGACTCAACTGGCGCCGTCAAGCATACAAGGCATGAATTTGATGGAAAAATCAAAAGCAAGCCATTAAAAACACTGGGTACAGTGCATGTTGTATATGTGCATTTGAGTAACACGGCAATCCTAATTTTACTGTCTTCAAAACAGAAAATGCCTCAGTGCTAAGTGGAGTCGCTCAACTCCTTTAACTGATGCATGGAGAGTATCTGCACTCGCGGTCTCCTTCTTAGGCACTTTTCCTTTCAGAGGCAAATGGCGAGAAAAGTTTCATCCCAATTTCATCGCCCCCGGCTGTAAAAACGACAGCCCGACGACATTCAAACCGTGCGCGGAAAAGAGTACAATTCAACAAGATATCTTAACCCTTTAAACCCTAACATCAGTATGCATATTCTCCACACTGTTCTCTACACATTTCCTAAGGTGCTGACAAGGAGAATTTGTTTAACAATCAAGAGCTTCTTAAGTTAGCGATAATTTCTTTTATTCTCATGACCTTAATGTGTGGTTCTGGATGATACTATAGGCAGAAATTTCATGCTAGTTACTCTTAAGGGTCAAAGGGTTGAACCATAATTTTACTCATTCGCGACGTCAAAAACTTATTTTGTCACGAAGAAGATCTACTCAATATTAGTTAGGCAAGGTAAAAACTACAACAACAACAAAAAGGGCAATAACAAGGATGACTGAGGATGGGAGGATCGAAACGGATTGACCAAAGATTTCAAAACGATGAACTATGCCGTAGCTTCGTAAATATAACATTTCGTGCTACTTTGGGGCTTTCGTCTTTTTCTCTTTAGGTGTTTTCTTGAAAGTTCCATGCGTGATTAGCAATTCTAATAATTTCACGTCGAAAGCTTCCTCTGTTCTCCGTTCTTAACGACTCATGAGCGGTCTAGACAATGTTTCGTATCGTTCGTTACAGAAGGGTAGCAATTTTTCTTGGCACAGAGTTGTGCGTATCGATATTAATGTCGCACGGCATACTGGTATGACATCATTCAAAAAATATCTTTATCAGGGTTCCCCATCTGTGCTCTATCTCTCAGATGCTGCCTAATAAGTGTTGACGGTCTTGGATCGTATCGCGGCGTTACATTCAATTTAACTGTTACAACATGTAATGATTGTCTTCCTTCCTTCGTAAGAAATTTCTTGCAATCACCGAGCACGTCCGTGCTGATGCGTTCGTATTGCTTGATTTCCCAAGGGAAATTACGCGAACAAATAGGAATGGCCAACAATTACGCAAACAAACCGGAATTCGCCACCGACTTCCTCTTTTGATTATGCCGTGGATTATTGATATGCGCCTTAAGTAGTTTTGGAGGTGAAGCACAAACCTAAAGTAGTAGCACCATGCAATGTATTATGAAAAAATGGATAGGCGAAATTCCCGCATCAATGAAATATTCCCTCCATAGGCAGAATTTCGAATGAGATATTTCCGTTTGGTCTTCAACGCTTCCCGTGGAGTTTACACGCAATGTTTGAGTTTTTGATAAAGTTCAACACACCAATTTTTTTTTAATCCGTCGGTCTGAAGAGAAAATCGACGGTTTTTATCATTGCTACTGATAAGTGAAGAAGGTTCTATTCAAAGATAAACAGAATGACTTTTGTTCAGATTTGAACGTGATCCAAGCGCTCATAACTTACGCTACTGTCGGATACCACTTACACGGACGAGAGCTTTGCCCTTGTCTTCCCAAACAGAACACCACGATTGATAAATGAAGCCTGTGAGATCGAATAGAAGAATAAAAACAATTTTAGACTTGTAACTCAGTCCAACTACGAAGAATAACCATTTATACCGTGAAGTTTTGGCAGATGTTGTGTAATGGTTTTCATTACACGTATCATAGGGTTAGAGAACGTGTCACGTAACTTACAGGAAAAATGCCTTACCAAAAACTGAAAACGTAAATCCCTTGATTACCTCTCATATCTGGGTCTTTTTGGAGACAAAAGGTTATAGAAGAACGCGGGAAAAGGTTTAGAGAAAAACGATCATCAAACTCGAAATATCGAGACTCTAATACGCTTTTGGAGAATGGTGTCAGATTCCTTGGCGCACTGTCAAATGATATTTGAAACAAAACAGTCTTAATCAATAAACTCCCCCAGGATTTCCAATCATGTAAAAATAACTTGTGATATCCCAATTACCGCATGGTTTAATTTTTTAATCTATATAAAAGATCCCTCGTATCGATATGTGAGACGTGACAGTAAATCTTGTGATTAAAATTGAAAGGATGCAGCGAAATCTGCGCAATGCCAAACAACAGTCACGGCAAGAATAAGGACAGATCATATGGATCTGTTCCAAAAGTAACTGAAGCTGGGTATTGAGGTATTAGCTTACATCGCCTTTAATCACTGCGTCAAAAATAACAACGCGCCGAGCACTTAACTCGTTGGATCAGATCTATCTTGTGTGCAGTTTGAAGGGAGAAACATGGGTGCTTCGCCATATTGTTTGTAAGTCACTAGTGAAAATCTTTTTACACAAACGTTAACTGATTCGTTAGTAGCTGTTGACTCGTTTAGGTAATCTTTTGTTTGTGTTACTCGCAGGTTTTTCTTGAATTTGATTTTGGTTTCTGCAGCGTTTCGTCTCCCTTCCAGCCTGGCAGATATTTTCCTTCCCCTTCGTAAGAGATCTCTAGGTAAGTCTGAGTTTGCGAATTACTGAGATATCACACATTTATTTCTTACTCGGAGTGATTGGAGCAGTGAAGTGAAAGGGAAATATTTGAAATTAGTTCCAGTTCTCATTTACTGGGTTTAAAGAAACAAGAACTAAAATGGAAATAAATCTTAGTCATGGCAAATGGGTTAAAGCTCATTTTCTTTCCATCCTTGTTCGTCATATATCTAAGCTAAACGGCGAATGATTTTAATGTTCAGTTGTACTCATTGCGGAATTTGCATTAGTGCAACGGGATTTTCGATTCCATGGCGGAAATGCTGAAAGGTGTCACGTCAAAAACCACTTCGGCAGAGTTCCCTTCGAACTCAAAGGGAAGACTGTCCGCAAGCAGCACACGTTTTCTACCTCCTAAGGCCACAAGACCTAAGGAAAGCCTAACTCGGTTTTCCAACGTTATGCATATGATACTGAATTGTTCAGAAAACAAACTACCCCCTTCACCGCATGGTGAGTGATTCGTGACGCGAAAGCGTCGTCCAGCTCTTGAACTGCACCAAGGATGCGCCACTATTTTATAAATTCGCCCATCAGTTCGCATCTTTTAGGTAGTTCATTTCGCCCTTTCAAGAAATGGAAAAGCAAGGTGATTGTTTACCAAATTTTTGTCTGAGTCTTAAGTCGCTGTAAGACCGAGCAACAAGTTTGAATGACATCCTCTCCCCCCGCTCCCCAAAGGAACTAACTTAATTAAGAAAATAACACGGGTTGACACCTTTGTATTCTAATGCTGATAAATTAGATAAATTATGTTGCTTTACGAACATTATTTCCCAGGTTGTTTTATTAAGACTAAAATGCTCTTCCATTTCCTTTTTTTTTTTTTTTTTTTCTTTCACCACAAGTTCATTGTGGTGGTACTCTGAGAGCTGACTCTGGAGAGATCCAAACTCCCAACTTCCCCTTCCACTACCCACGGAGTACCAATTGTCAATGGAAAATTGTGGTTAGCGGTTCAAGCATAACGCTGAATTTTGAGGAGTTTGAGGTACAGTGAGACGTTCAAATGATGCTGCGGCACTCCGCTTTACAAATTGTTTATAGCGCGTGGAAACAGCAACCGCTACATCATGTCACACACCAAATTCTTCCATTATTAATGACACTAAACTATCGCTAGTGAACGAGACCAAATCGAAACAGCCCAAGGCAGTTCTCAACTTTAAATGCAGTTCACATTCTTTTTTTTTTACTCATGTTGCAAAACGGTCTCAAACTTTTATTTCCCTGCTGAGTTTCCTGCCCAGAAGCCAGAAACTCAAGAAGGAATAATAGTAGTTTCCGCTTATACTTATCTGCACATATGGAATTGACGAAAACAGTGGCCAAAATTACACCGATTTGAACAAAATAGGTCGCTTAGTCGTATCGGGTGATTTCTTATCAAGATCTTAATCTTATCAGGATCCCTTAGTATCTATGGAAATGTATACTAAATGTTAGCATCTCATGTCTCTGCACAGAATCAAAACAAAATAATTGTCAACAACTCTTTACTGAAGAAGAGGTGGGTAGTGGTGAGCCGTGAAGCAAAAGGAATGATTACCACCGCTAGCCACTGACATTGACATCAATAGTCGTTTTAGTATAAAACTAAAACAGTGTCATAAAATAGTGCTATGAATATGAGGGTAATATGATTTTAGCTCTCTTATTCCTGCAACGATTACAATATTTTTGGGCGCGAGTTGGTCGAAGGTGAATGGCAAAGGATATTCGGAGTTTGATTAGCCAATCAGAGGTCGATATTTACATAAATGTTCTCTGGCTGCATGGATGTACTTTAAGGTTCGTGTATTGTTTGTAAGGTGTAAACAGGTAATAGCGACATTCTTGATCTGTGTCCCTACGTCCCAGTTATTTTAATAACCTGCCTTTTCTTGCCTCTTTCTTGAAACAACTCAGGATTGCGTTGTTTGTTTTAAGCCTGTTATGACCAACCTCTTGTAGACTTGTAGGTTGAAATTTATCCAAAGAGTGTTTTCGAAATTGAAGCTCGTGTTCAAAGTCGCATACACATCAGCCATTTCCCCCTGAAAAGTGTACTTAAGAAAGAAAACTTTCTGTAGAAGTATTTCCTTCCAATGCATTACAATTATGTTGGAAAGTGTATTGTTAAAGTTATCTAATTATCAATCGTTGTCAAGTTTTTCCATGACGTTTTTCCTTTCAGGAAAATTTGAAACTCCAGTTTTTTGGAAGAGGGACATTTACGAGCTGAGAAATTTTACGTGTTTTTCTTATGGGCAAGAGGAATACGCGCAAATGAGTATCGAAACGGAAAATGTATTAAAATTTAAAAGTGCCCGTTGTTTCCAAGGGAATGTCTGAATACAGAACTATACGGCAATGATAAATAAATTACTGCTATGGTGGCCGTGACCAAAGCTGTTCTCTAGTAAGGGTGTCTGACAAGATGTTCGTAACAAAGCACAGTAAAAACATCTAATAGGGAAGTTTTCCTTCTTTTTTATTGCAGCTTGAAACAAGTCAAGACTGTATTTACGATTATCTGGAAATTTATGACGGTGAATCAGACACCGCCAACAGACTGGGCAAGCTGTGTGGAAGCGAGACACCTGGTACCATTGAGTCCTCCGGTCCTCAGCTCTTTTTGAGATTTCATTCAGATTCCTCAGGGGAATTCAAAGGTTTTAAATTACGCTATGTAAAAAAGGCAGGTACGGTTACGGGTCATGGTATCAACCCACTACTCTTTCACCTCTATTAATCAATCTTTCAGTCAGTCAATCAGTCAGGTTATCTTTGCGGCTCCAGGCAGAGGCCCATATGAAATGAGCTGGACTGATATAAGTAAAAATAAATTATATTAAAATTACATAAATTATGTCAGTAAGATATATCTAGATCTCAGTGCCTTACCCTGAAGCTAATTTTCTTCATGAAACCTTTCCTCGTCTGGAGTTCATTCCCCTTTCAGTTGCATTTAGCTTCCAGAAGTCTTGTCACTACCCGACCAAGATGGGGTTCCAAGCCATGGCTTAGGATCACGTTTCGGCCTTTCGTCGGGCTTCCCTGACTATTCGAGCGTTAGCCTTTCTTCAGAGCGATTGACGAAGGGCTAGTGCTCGAAACGTCAGCTTTTCTGAAACTCCTTACGGTGGCCAATTTGCGTTATCAACTCAGTTGTTAACAAAAAATTACTCTGTTGTACTCTCCCACCGACGCAGCACCAGTTTCTTGAGAAACTTACTTCCTTTATTCATTTCCCTGACTATGTCTATTGATTTCCCTGAGTGGCGAGAGGCACTGTGTGATTAAAGTGCTTTGCCAAAGATCACAACGCATTGACCTGGCCGCGCATTGACCACATAATGAACGCATCCGCCGCTTTTAAGAGTACAATGCATTTCGGAAGAGGTCTATACTTTTCCTAATGATGGTTTTGTGGTGTCGACAAAGCCATGAAGAAGACGAAGTCAGATTTTAAACGGTAAACCAAAATTATTTACGCTTTTTTTGGAGATGCGTTGACCATGCGGTTCATATAGCCCCCTGAATGCAATGTTTGTTTTCTCACTAAAATTGGAACATTCCCTTTTGGTTGAAATAAGGGAGGCTCAGTAATTGACGCGAGTCATAAACATTTTTTTAAAACTTGTTTTTGTTTTTATCTTCAAGATTGTAGTCAGACGTTCTCTGGAGGGAATGGCTTGCTCAGATCCCCGAATCATCCCGATGAGCATCCGGCATTGTTGAATTGTTCCTACCTCATCTGTGTCCCGAAGGAAAAACTTGTGTCATTGCGTTTTACGCACTTTGACTTGGAACCTGATGCAGGTAGGCGTCAACGATTTCATGTCAATGAGTTTGTCGAAAAAACAGAAGTTCAGAAAGTTTTTCACCTTCGTGGCAACTGCAATCTGCATGGCACATAGCATTCAAACTGCTCATTGCTTTCGATTTCATTTGTGCACTGCGCGATATGCACAGAGAACGAACTCGAATGTGTGTGTTATAGACAAAACTCGCACATAGGTGCCTGTTTTCAAAAATGTTAAAATTTTTTCTGAGTACAGGACGGTTTCTGCTCCTTGTTAATTTAGCAATTTTCATCGACACAGGTTGTGCTTTTGACTATATTGAAGTTTATGACGGTCCAGGGACGTACTCTCCGAAGCTTGGAAAGTATTGTGGTAATGATATACCAGACCAAATCCGTTCTTCTACCAATGAACTCCTTGTGATATTTGTCACGGATAACTCCCTTCAGTATTCCGGCTTTGCTGCTGCATATACTGCCGAATCTAGAGGTGAGTGTATTATTGCGAAAAGAACATACAACTCAGTAATTGACGATTTACAGTCGATTAAAAACTTTTTCAGCCCGCAGAAAGATAGCTACGCTTTAGAATACCCTGTCACGACTCAACCAGTTTTAGACCCCTCCCCTACTAAAAATTCATGAGAAACAAGCTAGTGAGATTTCAAACAAGCTATTCAATCGACACCGATAGATCCTTTTTTTTCTGTTCAATCGATTTTTAAGTTTTCTCTCTGCTGTGGGAATCAGCTGTGTTTTAGGAAGACGAGAAATGTAAAGCTGAAACTTTGCAGACACTCTATAGGTTTCAAACCATTCCAGGTTTAACATACTCCAGGAAAATTAATGAGAAAGTCTCAGGTCCACGTGCAAAGCCAAGGAGCAGTGTGTACTCTTTAAATTTACAGGCCCTAACATCAGTACGAATATTCTCCATACTTTTCTCTATACATTTTCTAACGTGTTGACAAGGAGAATTTTTTTAACAACTAAGAGCTTCTTTGGTTGTACTTGATCATCATTTCTTTTAGTCCTGTGTTCTTTATGTGGGATCCAGGGGTGATATCGCGAGGAGAATTAAGATGCCAATGACATTAAGGGGTTGAAGGAGTAAATTTGAAATTTATAAACGAGGGTCTTTTTGATGACCTGTGTCCTTTTTTTTATTGAAAGTTTGATATGTTTCAGCAGTTTTAAATGCTAAATTTGCATTTTGTATGAATTTTTTCCAAGCAGCTGTCGCTAATCCTTGTCTTGTAAACAATGGAGGGTGCTCTGATGAATGTTCTCAGACGTCCGATGGACGGGTTTGCTCATGTAAACCAGGTTTCACACTGGATAGAGATGGGGTCACGTGCAGAGGTACAGATGTATAAGACTTAAGCAACGTATACTCCTTTACAATATACTTTCTTTACCTTTTACACCAGATCAGACTCTATTGTGGTAGATGTAAGACTCTATCTGCATATGTCTTCTTGCTAGGCAAGGTACTGCTTGACAGTTCAAAGAAGTGAATTACAACAGAAAGATTAAAAAATTGAAAGGAGAGTGTAGTAAAAAAGTAGAGCATGGCACAGAAAGTTTGTAAATACAATCATTTCTGTTTTATGGTCTCATGTAATGAAAGACAGACTGTAATCATGCCATTTTGGCTGAATATTTTGAGAGCCGCAACGGGAAAGGGATCCTAATGAATCATCTTAGACTTTTGGGCGACAAAGTTCTTTCTTTAAAGAAGAAACTTTTAAGAAGAAACTTAATTTAAAGAAACTAGACTGTCCAGTTAACAATGAAATCGTACTTAACTTGTTTCCATCAGTTTATTTCATTTTTGTTTGGTTGTATGACTAGGCTTCGGGTATTTATTCGTATTGAACATTTTTTCCCGCTGCTCAACAGACTATGATGATTGCATAATCAACAACGGTGGCTGCGACCATCTTTGCCTAAACACTCCTGGTAGCTTTCACTGCAAATGTAATGATGGTTACTTAATCGATTCAGACAACAAGACTTGTATAAGTAAGTGTGATATATTTTAGTTAAGAACCAGTTACCATTAATCGCGCCGGGGGGAAGGGGGTGAAGGTAGTGAAGAATTTGGAGGGAGGGGATCACATGGTCATAAGGGAGAACGGGGGGGTGTCAGTCGTCGCACACAGAGTAGAAAGGGTGGTAAATAGAAAATGGATTGCCAATGAACCATTAATGAGGGATGGGGGTCATAATAAAAGGTCCTCAATGTGAAGTTAACTCCATTCCTGTGTTCACAAAAGACCAACCTATTATTCCGAACTTCAAAACACGTGTTGTTCCCACGAGCAGGACACATGAACCCCACTACACAAATTATCGCCCTAACACGTAGCTTATGTAAACGGTACAACTGTAAAATAACATAACGAAAACACACCTACGTCACTACGAGGAGCTATAAACATTTTACGCTCTATGCTGTGGCACAAAAATATCTTGTTGTTTAGATAATTTTTCGAATAACAAGTACATTTTTCGCAAAATTTAAAGTGACGAAAAATACTCAGACAAAAATGGTTGAATGACTCAATCATCTGCAAACCTTGAGGACTGTTTTGGCAGCAGTGATATGTAGAGAGGATCAATGTATCTGGTATAAAACATATTAAAGTGATTTCCTTATTTGACCAAATATCTGTGGTGAGATGGCAAAACTATCGATGGGTTTATTTTCTGTGAAGTGTGAAATAAATTCTATTTTGTCCCTTTAGATGAGAACGAATGCGCCACAGGAAATAACAACTGCGAACAATTGTGCCGCGACACTGAACAGGGTTATTATTGCGAATGTCACAAGGGCTACAAAGTAGGACTCGACGGATTCACATGTCAAGGTAAAACATTTAGAAGCAGCTCTAAATCCAGCCTTGCGATGCCAGGTTGCCGAGTGTTTGAGGGAAATCTCGGGATGAAAAGTTTGCGGCCACTAAATCCTCAGTGGCCCCACTCTCCCCTTTCCTTTTCAACTTTTCACTCCGACAAAATATGTCCATTTCCTAAACTGTGGTAATTCTCTTCACAATTATAAAAACTTTAAGACTATGTGCGTTTGACGTTTAATTAAAGTAACAGTTTTATCAACATAATGATTCATTGAAAATGTTATTAGAATATTTTGTTGCCATACATCTTACATTTAAACTTCTTGTCGTTCTTTTTGTTTCTCAACAATTCATATTTTGCTTCTTTGTCAAACCTTTCTGTATTCTGTTCAGATTTAGCCTTTTTAATGGTTCTGTTGTCTTTCAGATTTGGACGAGTGCAAGTTACCAAAGAGTTTTCATCACTGCCAACACACGTGCGTAAATACACCAGGAAGCTACTACTGCAAGTGTAACAAAGGATTCATACTCAGTGCTAATGGAAGAATTTGCAGGGGTAAGGGAACATTGCTTATTTATCTCCTGGGGTAGGGTGAGAAAAGATTTTGGGGTATAAAAGATTTTAAAGTGCAAAAGATGTTAGGGGAGATCTCATGGGGGTTTACTGGGGAAATGGAGAGGAATCAGTCGTCGCCGAAAGAATGTCTAGGGGGAACTATAGAAAATTGACCGCCAATTAACTGCCAGCGAGGGAGGGGTCAGAAGAGTATTACAGAGCACTGAGGGTGGGGAGATCAGTAAATTTCATGGTGACACAACTGCAAGCCCCCTCCCCTCCCCTCCCCTCCCCTCCCCGGCGATAATTAAAGACCGGCCCGAAAGGGTCAACAGATTACGGACGTTAACGTATTAACAAGATTACCTTCGGATTTCAAATCGCTCAAAGTACGACTCGAATTCTGAGGCTAAATTCGTCCCTGGGAACTTATTTCAATTTCTATGAATATCCAGCTTTTTCTTCTGTGTGGAGGGTCATCGAATGAATGAATTTCGTTTTCAGATGAAGACGAATGCTTGATGGGAGGAACAAAGTGTGAGCAACAGTGTGTTAATACCCCGGGTAGTTTCCATTGTGATTGTTACACTGGTTACCATCGTGACCACCGACTTCCTCACAAGTGCGTGGACACTGATGAGTGTTCAGAGGGCCGGCCAGACTGTCACAAGTGCATGAATTCTGAAGGAAGGTAACGAGCCGAAGAATTGTAAGATATTGTTATCGTTCCTCCAGACCTCTGCAGGTCCTCATACTTCATTCAAAGAAGGCTTAAACCAAGACAAAACGGAAGAGCTCATTGAATGTACAGTGGCAATTTTTACCGTCCGTCCTTAGACTGGTTGCAACATTTGTTGTGAAAGCTGGCCTTAGTTTAATCGAAGTCGTCATTTTATATATTTCTGGATGTAATTCACTACTAGATTTATTGACCTGTTGTTGGTAGAGTGGTGAGAGCACTCGCCCTCCATTGCTTTTGCTGGAGCTTAATATACACTCCCAGACCTTGTATCACATGTTGCTGAGTTTTGTGAACGGCTCTCGCCCTCGTTGGCCTTGGCTAGTTAAGGGAGAGGGTGCGATGGGTGGAGGGTGGGTGGTTTTGAATCGACGAATCTTTGCTTATTTGCTAGTTTAAAACTAGCATTCAGCTCTGTGATATGCCTGAAGCATACTTTTATTCAGTTTTCAATAAACGCCTTTTTCAATCTTTTAAAGTAATTGTGCCATTTATTTATTTATTTTTTTATTCGATCATTACTAGTTTCCGTTGCGAGTGTGATGAAGGTTACATTACCGCTGACAATGAAACTCGTTGCGCGGATATCGATGAATGTGCGGTGAACAATGGCGGCTGCTCTCAGAACTGCGTCAACATGGATGGATCTTACATGTGTGAATGCAGCGAAGGATATAATGCCACCGACCCCGAGTAAGTATATGAACTTTATTTTCCTTTTGCACCTCATTGGGCATTGTTTGATCTGCAATAATATGAGGTGCTCGGCTGCTTTTATCATCTCGACTATGAAACACGCAGATATGATAAATCGGTGTAGCAACATGCTGAGTCTAAGACCCCATTCACACTAATGCGTTTTCGTCTGAAAACGGATTCTATTCGATGCGTTTTGGCCTTCCGTCCTCACTAATATTAAATGCTTGGAAACGGATGCGCTTTTAAATGAAAACGAATCGATTCGAAAACACTCTCAAAAGTGGAGAAAGTTGAAAATGCAGGCATAACGGTTTTGTGTGAGCGGTGGAAAACGGAGCCTTTCGAAAACAATGACGCTGGATTACGTCATTGCGTCGTGCAACCTCTTTTCAAGCTTCCCGTCTCAAATTCAAAACAAATATGGCGGACGAGCAAATGGATATGCTTTTGTATGTTGTTGACTTGTTTTATCGCTTGTTTGGAGCTTAATATCGCGTTATTTACCCTTTCGTTGATAACCCTTCGAAGAAGAATATCAATTCTGAGAACGCTGATTCTTTCTAATGATCGCCACGTAAGACTCGGACAAGTAGGCCATATCAAAGGCCGAGAATATTTTGACTTCGACCAGGACGAACAAGCGCGTGGTGGGCAATTTTTTTCACAGAGGGCGTGCGCAGTCTGACGAGTAGGTCACAGAAGTGACGTATGCATTTTCGAGTGTTTTAGTGAGTAGACAGTCATAAACGCTATGAAAACTCTAGTAGTCAGCCCCAGGTGAATTTAAAAAATTCAACTGCCGTTTAGGTCACTTAACTGTGAAGACATCGATGAGTGCGCCAGAAACAATGGCAAAGGAGAATGTGACTACGCATGCGCTAATTCTGTGGGATCATTCCGCTGTTCTTGTGCTGCGGGCTTCCACCTAGATGCTGATGGACTGACCTGTCATGATATAAATGAATGTCAAGCTAACAACGGAAACTGCTCGCAGAAGTGCATTAATACTCAAGGAGACCACTCATGCTCCTGTTTTGAGGGTTTTGTGAACTCAGGTTCAAATGGAACTGATGTTATCTGCATTGACATTGGTGCGTATCTTATTTTTTTCCTTTGCTTATTGCTCTTTCTACCGGGTTATTTTATTGTTGCACAAAATGCAAACTGTCTCTTTTGGGTGGGGGGCTTTTTTTGTCTCTAACCTTTTTGAGAAAGATGTTTATTCGTCTTGTCACGAGCGTGGGACAAAGAAAAAGAGTCCCCAGAAGAATCGAACCTCAGATTTTCGGATTCCGCGCTCTGATGCTCTACCACTGAGCCACAGAGACTCCACGGTGAGCGAGGTCTATTACGAAGTTCATATGACACGCGTCCTAACCTTGTTGTTGTTCGGCTTGTCTTCTATTGTCCTATATTTTTTTGTTTGTTTTTATTTTGTTTTGTTTTTTTCGTTGCGAGCGTCGAAGAATTGTATCAAATTTTGACTGCTCAAAGTGAAACATGGTTTCCAACTCTCTCTCTCCTTTTTCTCTGGTCCTTACTTTCTCTCTATGCTTTCCATAGACGAGTGTTTTGATGAGATACACCAGTGTGACAGTCTCGCGAAATGCCACAACACTCCCGGTAACTACTCATGCCAGTGCCCTGACGGTTACTCCTCGCAGTGGAAGGACTGTATCGGTGAGGCCGGTGTTAAGACATAAAGAAATTTATGTCGTCATTGTTTTCATAAATCATTCCCCTTTTCAAAGCGACAGTATAAGATAAAAAAAAAAGGTAATCAATCAATCCGTTCAGGTTTCAGGTCTCAGCAATTTTCTACTATTAGTTATCGGCGCGATTTTTTTTAGTTTAGAACTGTAACGCTATGATTGTGCCCTTCCGAAGTACGTGATAACTTTACAAGCCGCAATTTTTTCGCCTTTCGTTAATTCGGAAAAAAGGGATTGGTTTATTTTGGAAACTACGCCAAAAACTTTCAAAAAGTTAAATTAAAGAGATCATTTGCCTTTCGGTCTAGAGACAGAATCCTTGTTATTTTGCAGTTCGAATTTTTATGATGTCTCGTAAAAACTTTGATTATTGATGTAAAGTAATTCACGAAATCGGGTATCTATATGAACATCGGTTAGCATTAAAAGGCCATTCTCAAAAAAGCCTATTTAAAGATGACTAAGGTATCCATTATTTTATTATCCTGTTTATGTTTTAGATATTGATGAATGCACTAAGCCCGAGATAAATCAGTGCGAGCAAGTTTGCAACAATTCTCCTGGAAGGTTATTATGTGTCTATTACGTTTTTTATTAGCTCTTCACCCCATCTTCCCACTGTCAAAGGAAAGTAATTTTATATCAGCAACTCTTGGCCTAGCAAATGATTCTAAATATTGAAGTTGTAATATACATCGCAATCGATACTCTTTGGCAGGCACAGAGTCTTTATGGTTAGCGCAAGAAACTGCGTTGAGATGCGACGTCGAGCATCGGCCGGGTCTCTGTATTGTTTTCCTGGGCAAGACACTTTATCATAACCAAGCCCCCATTCATGCAGGAGATGACTGAACTGTTAGGGAACCCCGACAATATATTTTTGAAGAGGGGGAGGGTGAAGGTTTAGCGGTGATGGGTAAGGATTCTCTCCATGATAAGTAGTAATACCCCTAGTTGGTTCCCGCCGCAGGAAGCCTGTGTTAGTCATTTGAATTTGAATGAATAATTGATAAGCTAGATCAACATTGGTTTTATGGCGATTATTATTTATGTCTATTGTTTGTTTGTCTGTTTATTCCTTGTTTTTTTTTTGTTTTTTTTTTTAAATTATTGTTCAAATGATTTATGCTATTCTAAGGATGTGATATTTATTGCAAATTTCTCTCATATGTAGCTTCCACTGTGAATGTAGACAAGGTTTTGACCTTCAAAACGACAGCAAAACCTGCAGCGGTATGTATTGCTAACAGTTGAGGTTTATTTATTGGAAACGAGAAACTGGCAAGGGCCCATGGCCACCTGAGGTTTTCAATTATTACAGTACAGTAAATGTGTGGCATTAACTGAGAGATTCACTGAAAATTAGAAGTATTTAGCTTTCGGTCAGACGGAGGGAACAATAGGTTATTAAAGCCTTTTTACTTTTACTGATCTCAGCATGTTGAATAGATCGGTAGTAATCAGGCCCAAGCAATAGCAGGTGCAGGTTATTTCTTACTCTTTGACTTTCCATATCTTCAGATATTGACGAATGTAAACTGGGCAAATGCGAAAAAGGTTGTCTTAACACCGTTGGAAGTTACCAATGTTTGTGCCCAGCTGGTTATCAGTTGGCAGCAGACGGTCACCATTGTGAAGGTAAAATACTTCAATATCTAGAATTAAGCTATATCAATGAGGATTTAATGAATCAATAATTTTTTTGCAGTTGAAACTAACAATGTGTCCATAGGGGCGTAACTTTGAAAAATAGGATATGGAAGTTGTCCTTCTTAGTTAAGATTGACAACTGGGCGTGTGTGAATGGGTTCTGATATTTGACTGGCATTTAGCCTTGAAAAGTAAGATTTTTGACCCGCACACCATTTAAGATCAAGTTCCAAAGTTAAATGCAAAAATGGTGTTGATGATTTTCCAGAATCGTCCTAGCTGTTTTCAACTATCTCTCTTTATTACAGATATCGACGAGTGTTTGGAAGATAACGGTGGTTGCGATCAAAGATGTGTAAATGAAAATGGAAGGTATTGTTTCTTCAGAAACTCTGGAGTTATTCGTTTGAGTACAGAGGAGCTCTTGCTTGGAACTCGTAGGGAGACATCAGGAAGAGACGTTTGGAAAAGTGTTAACATTTCTTTGTTGTTGCGTCAGTTTGTACTTGTTGATGCCCCCCTAGCTTGTATCAGGTTTTTCAGTACCTCTGTCAAGGCTGAGTGAATTTGTGAGTAACATGAACGAGGTCCCTTTAATTACTTGGCTGTTCGATGTCAATGTCTCTGAATGTTAAAAGAATAAGTATTATTGTCATTACAATCAGTGTAATAATCAACATCATCTTCATTATCGCTATTGTTATTTTTCTATTATTGTTATCATCATTATTATTTCATGTTGTCATAGTCACTTTAGACTTCAATCGCTTAAGAGATCTCAATATTTATAACGCCTAATTCTCAGCGTAATATCTCCCAAGGGTAACCTTGCATGTTTCGAGGAAATTTTTTGGTGTCCCTTAAGATTATTGTTGCTAATCATGCAAGATTTAAAGAAAATGACGTTAAAAACTCTAAGGTATCTCTGACCCTCCCAATATATGTTTTGTCTTCTCACAGTTATTCATGTGCTTGCCATCATGGTTTCAAACTTCTGAGAGATGGATCAACATGTAGAGGTACATATCGTTAAAAAGCGGACTTGTGATAAGTTTGGCTTTGCCACAGCTGTTGTGATAAGCGAATCATTCGCCCTATTAAGGGTGGCAAATTTATGTTCTCAACTCATTTGAAAATACTAAATTACCGAATATGAGGCTTGGAACCGAAAACATACTTACATATATGTTTATTTTCCATCCTAACTGAACTCCCATTAAAACTTCATGTTTATATTACTAAAACCTTAACTTCCCGAATTTTTTAACGTTGATAACAAAGGGGAAAAATCACACTTACACTTGCTCTTATTAATTGTTAAGAAAACAACAAAACAGTATAAACAATAGACTGTTCTATTAAATGTATCACACTCACCTTTCGCTAAACAAAAGTTCAGTTGCATACATGTGAGAAGTTTGCTTGTATCTTACTCGAAAGTAACGAAAGAATCGGCATCTGTTCGTGGGCAAGCGCGTAAGGTATTTCGGATGCATGATTATTAGAACGGGTGCGAATCGAACAGCGGTTTGGATACGAACCGAGTCCCGTAGAATTGTTGAAAGCTTTGAGACGTGAAAATCTACAAGGAAGCGTTTTTATAAGGTCTTTTCATACCAGTGCTGCAGCACAGAAGAAACAACACAAGTAAAGTTAGAACTAGGAAATGCTGCCAGCGTTTGAGGAAAAATTAATAAGGAAAGTGCATATATTAGATTGCTTAGTTATTTTGGGCTGCTTTAAGTATGATTAATTTTTGACTACGCTGTCATTTAATGCTACCTTTGCTGTGGCAATGAGACCACAGAAGCAAATTGTTTATAACACATTAAACAAAGTGGTGGAGCAATTTCGCTTGAACGAGATATAAAAGGCATGCATCTGTCGCCAAACGAAATTTCCTTGAGGCGATTTATCGCAATAATGTATCCCTGGTTCTGCGATAAATCCGGCACTGGAGCAATATATAACATTTGAGAGATATGTCGATGATGATGAAGTACACGCTCTACGATATATCGTTGTAGCGAGATATCATTGTAGCGATATATCGTCGGAGCGATATATCCCTGGAACATTTTATCATTGGAACGAGATATCGCAGGAAAGCTCGGATATCTCGGTGATAAAAATGCACGATATATCGGCGATATATCGGAGGAACAAAGGGAATTATTCGACGATAATCGTTAGCATTACGTTTTCACAGTGCTTTATCAATTCTTTACTTTATGAGGGGCTGTTTATGTATGTGATTGGAACTAAACTTTTAGAAGGAAATAAGCCAATTACTTAACTGGTCTTTTTCTTTTGAATCAGATATCGACGAATGTCTGCTGAACACTGCGTGTTGCAACCAGGGTTGTTTCAACACAGAAGGCAGCTATAACTGCTCTTGTTACCAAGGATACACGTCCAGCAGTAACTGCACCTGTGTAGGTTAGTAAAATGAAAGTGATATGACTCAACCTGATAATTTTGAGTTGTTTTGGGATTGTGTGGTCAAAAGTATTTTTGAGCAATGATGAACGTGAAAGCCTCTTACAAAATGTAATTTTAATTTCTCTTAAGTGAGACTCTCTTATTTTTCAGACCTTTTTTCAAATGATACTGCCAATAGTACTGCTTAAGTTTTAGCAGTTGAGCAATGTTAAAAAAAAAATTGTGGAGGAAAGTCAATGTGTTCGTAACCTTTGAGAAAGTTACTTTTAGAGTTAATGATTGTTTCTCACTGCTTTCTGTGATGTATCCTTCCTCACCTCATTATGTTCGACTAAAAAGTGACTCCGTTCAATATTTTATTTTCTCTCTCTAGATGTAAATGAATGCCAAACAAATAACGGAGGCTGCGAACAGATTTGTACCAATAACCCGGGAAGCCATAGGTGAGCGAACCATACTAAGAAATATTTACTTGTTCGCGTCAGGCGTTTAAGCTGATATTTGCCAACCAAAGTTGTGTCAGTGCGATTTCTGCAAGAAGATTTGCCTAGCTTAAGTACACTGTTGTGCTCGTCGGAGGGTGATTTCCGGCCCTCGCATATAGAATTAAAATGACAAGATTTATTTGTCCTAAGAAACAATAGGTACGTAAAAAATTAGCCATTTCCTCAGTATGTGCTTTTTTGTTTGGTTTTTTTTTTGTTTTTGTTTTTTTATTTTCGTTTTTTTGCATGAAGAATTGTATTTATCATTTCTGGCTTTTTTTTTAAATTAGATGCTCGTGCAACTCAGGTTTTGTAATCGATAGCAGTGACCCGAAGCGCTGTGTGGACATCAACGAGTGTCTTACGGTAAGGATGTGCAGAATATTGACCCAAAAATAAGCAGAACAAAAACAATGAAAACATGGTAAAGAAAGATGGGGGTGTCAACAACTGCGATAAGGCATGAACCTCGTTACCTTTTGGTTTCTTTCTGTTTTTGTTTTTGTTGCTTTTTACCAGCGTTAAGAACTCATTAGGAAACGCCTTACAACCACGCAAATTCTACCAGTTAAATTTTGTGCTCTCTTTGGTCTATTTGACTGGATGAGAATTCTGTCCTCATAAAGTCGAGAAAATGAAGTCAACCTCTGCGATTAGAACTTCATTACTTGGATAAGCCCGTCCCTCAATTCACCCTCTCTTTCATATCACAGGACAATGGTGGATGCCATCACAACTGCACAAACTCCCCTGGTTCATATCAGTGTACTTGTCATCCAACCTTTAAACTACAAATTGACGGGAAAACGTGCGGACGTAAGTAAAACCTCCTTCAAATTCTTTTTAACGTTTTGTGAAGCTTTTGTAACTGACTAAGCTTACTGTCCATTAAGGCATAGCGCTCAGTTTTAGGCAGGAAATCAGTTCATTTCAGTTCCGGTCGAAACCAACCCGCACGTTCAGTTCTCTCTCAGCCCTTGTGGAACCAATTGAGATCGTGGGTGTTCTAAAGTGATTTCAACGTCTTGCCATGCTACTTTTATCAAACGATAAAAATGAGACTAAAGTCCGAAACACTAAAAGTACTGAAAGGATTCTTCGGAGAGAGAGAGTAAGAGAGCTGAGGGACTTTCTTGTTCTCAAGTAGATGCCTCCCCTTACAACTAATCCTAAAAAAACCGATAAAAGAGGTCTCATGATTTGTCATGGTAATTTATTTATACAGATTGCCCCACCTGCAGTGATTTTGAAGCTCTGTTACAGACTGTTGAACAGCTAAAGAACAAGGTGTGGTATTTATTTAGCTCTTGGATTTGCTTGAAATTCATCTCAGATAATTACATTTGACACATGCAAGAAATAAAGAAACTGATCACTTTCTGGAAATAGGGATGTATTTATTTACCCTCTAGCACAAGATTTTCTCCTTGAAGAATTTACCAATCATGACCTGGAAGTGATTTATTGCTAACTAATTGTAGGCTAATTAATCTGTTCACCTAATGATTAATTTATTTATTGCCTTAAGCTTGCTTCGATTGAAGTCTGGAAGCAAAGTGTTGACGGTCAAGGATGTGTCTTTGAACTTGAAATTAAACCTGATGGAACCTCGTGGAAAAAGAGTCCGTGTGAGATATGTCGCTGCGAGGTATGTCTTTCTAGCTTTCCTTTCTTGTTTGCAAATGATTTCCCCCATTTCTTTCCTTTCTTTTATTCAGCTTTCAATTGGTAACGAGGTTATTTCCTTGACACTGATTCTGATCCAATCGGAAATTACTTCAAATGTCTTAATGTTAACTTAGTTTTACTGTGATGTGGTTTCACCCAGTACGCCCTTAAGTCAGCATATGCTTTCTCCCTAGTGTTCTTTATACATTTCCTTTGGCTCTTACAAGGAGAATTTAGTTAAAAATCAACAGCCTTTCAAGTCCGCGATCATTTCCTTAAATCCGATAAACCTATTGTCTGATTGCTAGTCACTATCACGGGTTAAAAGTTAATGAGCATGTCAAATGGTGACCGCAGTATTCCTGGCCATCTGTCAGAGAAACTTATGCACCTATAGGCATGTAGCTTGTTTATAATCTTTCCGATTGAGGGTTTATAAAGGTGTTAAAGATGCCCCCAAATCCCCTGTTTCCACCAATTAATGAACAGGCATGACCCAGTTTGAATCTGAAAGCCTAATTAATTGTATTGTAGCTAGTTTAGAACAACAAAATTGCCAGTTTTGTGCCTCCTGACGAAGAGGCTTCCTATCTTAGTGGAGTGACTTTACTTTCAGACGATCTGTTTTACAGAGAGCAGGATAAACTTCGGCCAGATGAGCCACTTCGGCAGATTTAACTCTTAACGATTCCATCACTCACACTATTGATGACTTATACTCTATTAGAATAGACGACTGACTACTAGTTCTACTCGGTCATCTGATTTATTTGTTTCCCAATGAACTCGGTTTACCGAGCCAGACTGGCTGTTCAAATTAATTCAATCGTTTTTCTTTTTTTTTTTTTTTTATTGTTGTTGTTGTTCACTTGTGTTTGAAATTGATCGTTATACCGGAAGATTTATCAATAAGCGCTTTCGAACGGATACTCGATATAAGTTCAATGATATATGTTAGTTTCTTTTGGCTTTGAGTAAAGTAAATCCCATGTAAATAAGAATTATATGCCTCGGTAAAAATATGTCGTTCTTTTCTTTAGAAAAATCAAACCCGCTGTGAAAGGATTTCAGGCTGCTTAGGTAGGGAATGTGAATTGATGTTCTTTTCATTAGTGCTTGATTTTGTTTGTTGGTTTCCTCGCTGATTCTTGCCTCGTTCTTATTACACCCTGTTTAAAATCACGTGTGATTTATACAATCTGATTGGCTATCTTTGTTGCGATTTATTTGTTCTAAATCTCGTTTCTTTCCTAGCCAACGAGAAAGCTTTACTAAAACACAACAACCAAGCAGATTTTAAGGCTTGTAACCAATTTAATCGAAGAAAAATGAAAGACAACTTTTGCAACTTTTTACAAACCAATTCCATACTGGGTGAAGAAAATATTTGTGCAGACTAAAAAAATCGTGTACTGAATTTTGCGATTTCAAAATACATGTAACAAAGTGAATAACGCGTTTGATTTCAGACCAAATTGCACTCTTGGTTGAGTCCTGGTTGTGATGATGATGCTTTGTTCCGGGATTTAGGTCATTGCCGCTAAATCCGTTTTTGTCCTTTACAATTTGAAAGTTTGTAATAATTCATGTCCTATTCACCCTTAAAAACATTTGACCCTACCAGGAATATAAATTGTATGAGCTATCTAAAATCCGGGCGATTTTTCTCCAACTTGTTAAGAAACGACGGCACAACCCCTCACTACAGAGGAAATGATCACAATTACTCATGATGATAATGATGATGACGATGGAGACGAACCTGTTTCTTCTACATCAAGTAAGAAACAAAAATAATTTACGACTATTAGAACTTCTTTTCTCAAATGTCCGCGTAAACTGGCCCTAGAATTTTTATCTTTAGAAGCATATAACTTTCCAGGGCTAAAATGGATAACTTTTCTCGGATATTTGGAGCCAGTGTGACCGGGTGGTCAGGGTGCTGCGCTTTTAATCAAGCTATCCGCTCTGCCACTCGCTGGATTTGTAAGATGCTTTTTATCATAAAACCAAAGCCAGCACAGAATGCACTATTTTTTAACTCTGCTTAAGTACATACAAGTATTGAGATAACACAAATAACTGCGTAGCGTTTAAAGCTAAGAATGCTGCCTGCAATCGTCACTTCATTCCTTTTTTTTTTCCTACTAAATTTCAAGATGTTACTTTATCCTTTATCGAATATCTTTAAAAGTTAAGTCGTTAACGACTCTGGTATCTTTCCCAGAGTATCAGTCATTTATACCTTGGCTTTAAAACGTTGTTTTCATAAGTGAAGATAGTTTGGGATTTTCCCAAAAATGGAATTTAAAATATTCAATCACGAGCTATTCCTCAACAGACTGTTACCTTTTAACTCACAATCACTTGTTCTTGAGTCAATTATAATGTTGGACTCACTATTGTTAACGTATTTTTATATCGTAATTTCAGAACGTAATGACTATTTTTTTCGGGAAAAGCTTCTTTTAAAAGCAAATCTACCTCTAAGAATTCTGCAGCACGACAAACACTGGGCGCCATGAGCAACTGTTTATGAATCATCCAATACTTTCAAACTAAATATTTACTTTTTTATTTATTTTCGTCAGGTGGTGATTTGCCAACATCAACGGCCGCTTCAAAGACACTTTCAACAGAAAGAGAACTTTCTGAGAGTGAGCTATTTACTATCAACAAGAAGAAACGATTGCAGTGAGAAAGAATCGTCTAATAGCGAATCAAACGTGTAATCTTATAAGGGTTAGGGTAGAACATATCTGTCATGGAATTTTTAACTATAAAATTGCGGCTTGTTAGTAGGAACGGTAGAGTCAAACGTATTATTAGTGAAAACGCTAAAGAACAAAACTTTTTTTCGCACAAATTTGTCCAAACCCAATTTTTTTAATAAAGGGAGTAAGTTTCTAAAAAAAACTGTGGTACTGCGTCGGTGGGAGAGTATAACAGGGTAATTAAGTGTAATCAACTGAATCAAAGACGTAAATTGGCTACCGAAGAGAGTTTAAAGACTGACATTTCGAGCGTTAGCCCTTCGTCTATCGCTCTGACGAAGGGCTAACGCTCGAAACGTCAGCCTTTAAACTCTTTACGGAGACCAATCTACGTTTTCAACTCAGTTGATAATACTAAATTACCCAACTTTTTAAAACCGTACGTTATCAGAATGAAACCCCACCCCCACCTCGCAGGCAAACAAATGCTCTTCTATATTCTATCTTATTTACCTATTCTTTTCTATTCTTGTCTGGTCGTTTCTGGGCAACTGGGTTTTATACAAGTCTAATCCATTATGTTTTTAAACTTTTCTATTCTAGGCCTTTAACTATTCTATGCTCGAGCTCCATTTTGTTTTTATTCTATTCTTTTACCTTCTCCTCTCATCTCATCTCTTCAATTTAATTTTTTTCTCCTGTCTTCTCTTCTGATTAAATATCTTCTCCTATATTCTCATTTTTTTCTTTTTATTTTTTACTCTATATTCTTTTCCTTCTTTGATTTTTACTCTATCTTATCCAAAGAGCGTTATTAAAGTACAAAATATATTTTCTTTTCTATTGACATGTTAACAATATTTTTACATGTTGTCTTTTTCTATGTTTCTGTTCGTGTCGTCGATCGCTTGTCATTAGTTTAATTGATTGCACATAAAATTTTAAAATCTGCTGTGTTTTTCACACGGTATTTAAGTCTTAGCTTTCGGAGTCTTTTTGTCAGTCTGGAAACCTCCGCCATATTGAATATCTAATATAACAATTACCACGTATTACCAAATATAACAGAGACCACGCATCTGTTAAGTTTATCTTAGCGCTGTTTTCCTTAAAACAGTTTTATCGTGGCCTATCTTGGCATACATTGGTTGTTAAAAACATACCTCGATTGACCATTTATTTGAAAGGTTAAAAAATCTCGCACAAGGCTGAAATACTCTTTAAGCCATTTAAGCCTTTTTTACTCGTTTTTTTATTTTTAAATGAGAAATGCAAATTCATGATCTTTAAATAATAATCATTTAAATGATAATCAAATACCCTTTTAGCTTTTTGATGCATTTGTCGACTGAGTTGCCCATATAACTCGAGAGATGGGTAGAAGACGAATCTTACAAGAGCATTCGAATACGAATTTTATGATACTTGGCTCGCATGAAGAGTTTTCATTTAACTGCTGGGAAGCTGCTTATTGTTTTGTTTCATTGTGTCGAGTTTTTCCCTTTCCGGGCTCTCACCTCTGCGGATGGACCATAATCCGCAAAGATCAAAAATCGCAAAGTTGTCATGCAACACCATAACATTACGTTACGTAACACTTTCTAGGGGAGTACAAGATCGAACACACTTTCTTAACTGCAGTTACCGCTGGATTTTGATTCCTTTGCAGCCTTTCCTTCTCTTTCGTTATGTGGTGTCTTTTTGTAAACTGTTGGCGCTGTCGGTTGCGTGCCATCCACCACAATCTGATTGTCAAAAGAAATTGCTGTTTTTTCTCACGGTGTGAATGGAACGAAAGTATGTTCATCAATTTTCCTTTCATTTTTAATCCTAGTGTGTCATAATAAATCCGCTTTTTTGAGGATGAATTTCACTTCTATGTGAACACTTGAAATCGAGTCTAGATTAGTTGAGCTTTCTTAGGAAGTTAGTCTGTAAAACTCTTTTCCTTAAACAATAACGCCTTGTTAAATATGGTGAGTTATTAGTTACGCGTCCCCTTAAACAGTCGTAAAAAGATTCGAAATATTTTAAACCACTTAAAACCTCTGATATTTCCCTTCCTAATGGAAAGCAAAAATAATGTACAATTATCGTCTTCAAATTGCAAATACGTCAGCTGTCAATCAAACATAACCTTAATGTTCCGCCAATTTTTGTTCTCTTGTAGATCGATCAGACCACGTAGTCTCACCAACATCCTTTTTACAACAAGTAAATAAGCTTGTCACCTCTTTAAATACGGACGGTTTAAGAGTGTTTAAACTGGTTTTCAGTGGTTTCCGGTAAATCTCCAAGAAGTTTAAGGATAAAATTCGAGGACAGTTTAAAACTCAAAATGCCTGATCCCAGGAGTTCAAAGGAAGACAATTTCTTCATCTCTCAAGCTATCCTAAGCATCGTGTTCGCCACGTCAGCTCTCATTTCAAATGTTTTCTTAATGATCACTGTATTTCGAAATACAAACTTGAATCAGAGGATTTGGCAAATGCATGCAACTTACTTCGTGGTAAACCTGAGCATCTGCGACCTTCTGGCCGGTCTTATTCCCGGATACGGTGGCCTCTCTTACGATATCTCTATTTTGAGAGGCCAGACGCGAGAAAGCCTTGTTGGCCTCAAAAGTTTAATAACTTTTGCTGCTGTCATGACAAATATCGTCTCATCTGGCACCATGGCTTTAATGTCTTATGATCGTTGGTTCGCGGTTTCGTCTCCTCTGCATTACAAAGCTCGGGTGACCAAAGCGAGGATAAAAGCAGCCCTAGCTTTTATCTGGATTTATTCCTTGATATTCTCTAGTCTTCCATCGATGGGAGTGGCAATATCTCTGTTCACTCTCCTTTACTGCCACCTTCACGTCTCGGTTCCCCTAATAATCTTGCCGGTGTTATATTGGAAAACATTGCGAGCGCTTCGCCAGCACAACAATCGAGTGCATGATGGAGCAGATGATAATGGAAGGCAGAAAATGGACACGGCCCACAGGAATAGAGAGCGTAAAATGGTGTCGGCATTTCTCTTGATCCTTTTTTTCTTTTACCTATCTTTCGGCCCACAGTTTATCGCTCAAAATGTTCTCCTTTTTTACCCAGATGCAATAAATCAAGAAAGTTTTCGTTTTTTCTTGTATGCGTCTAACAAGTTTCTTTTAGTTAATTGTTGTTTAAACCCCTTCATCTACGCGTGGAGAATTCCGACCTACAGGAGAGCTTTCAGAGAGATTTTTAGTGGCTGTGTTCGGCTTCCGAGAAACAGTGTCCTTACAGTAATGCAAAACGACATCAACAATTGGAGGGACCATACATACAACTGTGATGGTCGAAGAGTTACCTCTACAAGGAAGACGTGTGTAGTTCAGCAGTAGATATCGATTTACCAGAGGGATTACCCGAAAGAAACATGAATTAGAAGCACTCGGGGAAAAGTAAATAAATTACGAACCGACTGTGACTGAATCATATACTCTGTTTTCGAGTTCTTCCTGGCGGCCTCAGTGCGTTTACGGAAGGTGCGGTGTATTGTTTTTCGCACTAAAATAGCTCTCGACTTACGGATGGAAGAAACGATAGGACCGACCTTAGAATCCCAGTCGCTCGAACTACGTACGTTTTGAGTTTATCAAAGTAATTTAAAAAATTTATTTGCAAAAGTGAACAAGGAGGTACCCAAGTTAATCTTTAATACGTGGCCGAGTAAATAACACACTTGGGACTGGCACTATCGTATAGATATTCCCCTTGTTTTAAACTTAGGGCCAAACCAGAAAGGCACACAGTAGATTCTCTGATTACGACCTTTGTATGGCCCTTTTTTGGCGAAGGAACCGTTTTTGGCCTTGATACGAGAAAACAAAACAAATTTATGTAGATTGAAGAGTTGGCCATTAGCGGTGACAAATGATTTTAGATACATGGAACTTTCAGCATAATATATGACCTCGAAAGGCTGACTATTTGGAGCACGAAATTGATAAGCCAAATACACTTTTGTAACAGCTAAAATAAACCGTAATATATCACTGTCCTTTGTTGCCAGACAAAGTACCGACGTTTAGGAAACACTCATAACCTTCACGATCCCCAGAAAAACGTACAATTAGCTTATTACTTTTGATTTGTGTGGTGGTTTTCATTACACGTATTATAGCGCTAAGTAAGGTGTCATTAACTTACAAGAAGAAAATTGCCTTACCGAAAACTGAAAACATAAATCCCCTGATTACTTCTCATATCTGTGTCTTTCCGGAGACGAAAGATTATAGAAGAACACGGGAAAAGGTTTAGAGAAAAACGATGCGCTTTTGAAGAATGCTGTCAGATTCCTTGGTGCATTGTCAAATGGTATTTGAAACGAGACCAAATCGAAACAGCTTAAAGCAGTTCTCAACTTTAAATGCAGTTCACTTTTTTTCTCATTGCAACACGGTCTGAAACTTTTATTGCCTCACTGAGTTTCTAGCTTAGAAGCCAGAACTCACGAAGGCGTAATAGTAGTTTCCACGTTTACTCATCTACATATATGGAATTGACCAAAACAGTGGGCAAAATTATCCCGATTTGAACAAGCTAGGTGCGCTTAGTCGTTTCGGGTAATTTCTTATCAAGATCTCAGGTTGGAAATGGATGCTAAATGTTAGAATCTCATGTCTCTGCACTGGATAAAAACAAAATAATTACAGGTGAGTATTGGTGAGCCACGAAGCAACAGGAATAATTACCACCGCTAGCCACTGACACTGACCTCAATGTTTGTTTTAATATAAACTAAAAAAGTGTGATAACATAACAAAAAAATTTGATTTAACTCATTTATTCCTGCAATGATTACAACATTTTCGGGTGCTAGTTGTTTCTTAGAAGAATGGCAAAGGATATTCGGAGTTTTAGTTAGCCAATCAGACCACGCCTTTAACGCTATCCACTGTTTTAGTATATACTAAAATCATCTCATTATTAAAAGATCAAAACTTTCATTGATGCACATTTTCTGAGGACTAGTAGAATACCTTGAACATTTGATGGTTTGTTCTACTTCTAAAGCGAAGCAACAACCTCGTGGCTACCACTTGATAAACTTTGCTATCGTTGCAGAGCTCTTAAAATTCATCGTAACCTACAAGCTGCCTGAAAAATTTTCCTTCAAACCTTTTGATTATTTCTATGATCAGAAAATATACATCATTAGAAGGGCTAACGCTAG